GCCCCTGTCTAAATGAATGGATAGAAGTTATACTGGTGTCTGTGTGAAGTTGCACAACATTACGGTTTAATTTATGACTCAATCCAACAATGAACATCTCAGGCTCCTCCCATCAAACAAATACAAAGAGCCAACCACATAAAAGTGAGATACAATAACACAAAACAGTTACAGTTTCAACACAATAAATGCTTTATTACTCTGTGAAAGAACACGTCACACTGCCAGCACATAAATGTTGCGTAGTCTCAGACACTCTCCGTCTCACTGAGGAGCTACAGCAACAGCCAATTGGACCCTACTTACAGATAACCACTACAAGATGCCAGACACAACGCCCAGGGTGGATACAAAAAGCAAAGGCAACAACACAACAAACACACAATTAGCAGGTGACAGGACACACAACCAGCTTGTCCCAAAACCCCCAGAAAAAAAACATCCTTCAAGATTCAACATTTTATAATCACCCTGGCCAACATGCTTAAGTGCGGCACTTTGAAGTGCGGCACTGAAAGCATGTGATCCTCGTGAAATATATTCTCTCTGTATAAGCAGCTTTAGGGGGTCGTATTAAATATAGGGCTCAAAGTGCAGTACAAGGTAAAGGTGACAAAAGCCGGATTTCAGCCAAGTTGTGTTTACACAACATTTGCTCAGCTACATATCTTCAAGTAATAAAATTAGATATAGCTACTCTTTAGGGGATAAAATCTAAATACTTATACAGTACATAATGAACAGGGCCCATATATGTGTGTTTACTTATATAATACTTTTAGGGATCTATAAAATAAAATATTAGCGCTGCTAGGAAGTTCATACTACTTAATAAAATCTCAAATCCCATGACCCATAATATAGAATCCCCTCTGAAAAGTGCCGTGACTTTACCATTCAATAGAGCTTTTAAAATAACCTATCTTTTATAATCTACCTTAACGTATTTGCAGCCAGTCAGCAGCTGATCAGTCAGTGAGTGAGTAGCCGTCACTGTTTTGTGAAGCTGTTGTCCTGTTGAAGTGAAGCTCTGCGTGTGGAAGTGAGGCGGTTCAGATGGCCGTTGAGGTGTTGCTGTCTTTGGGTCGGACCCGCGTCACGTGTTCCAGCTGCCCGGAGTCGGACACGTCATAGCTTGTCTTATACTTGGCCAGGATTTTCATTAGAGGACGGAGCTTCAGCCACCACTGCTCCTTAGGGATCCTGTGACTGAAAGTAGAGAATAGACAAATGTTCTCTACACTATTTCTTAACCACAGAGATCTTTAAAGCAAGATTAAAACAAAAGGCCTGGGACCGCTGCTTCAGAGAATTTTAGAGGAATTGGATCAGAATATTTTCCAGGTTTGTTCTTAATAATCTGGTTCAGATGCATTAGCACTACCTTTTGTTTTTAACTATGTTAAAGATCTGCAAATGGTCCTCTAAAACATTTTTCCTCTCACACAGTAAGTAAGCTCAGCTTGTGAGCTTACTTACTCAGTGTTGTGAGCTGCACTGCTACAGATATTAAACAATCGTCTTACACAAAGTCTGTCTCGTCCCGGAGCTGCGCCACAGGCTGAAAGACCAGAGTTCTGCGACGCATCCCCAGCAGGCATGCGGTGTCCTCCGAGTTTGCAAACACTCTCCCTGCAAAGAAGAGAAGCATCAGCTTTTGTAACTGAGGCAAAGCAATTTCACACCTAAATGTTCTGCATCCTCGCTGGAATCAAGTGTCACATTTATGTGCTTGCCTCCTTTGTAGGACTCCTTGAGTGTCCGGGTGATCCACTGCATGGCTTTGGCTGCAATTTTGGTACCAAAGTTTCTGTCAAAGGGAGATGGAGCTCCTCCCTGACATGGAAAAAAAGTCATATTTATTCAAAATAAGGACATTACATATAAAATATCACAAGTCTAGTATCTAAAATAATGTTAAGTGCACTTTTCTGTTACACTATAACTCTTAATTTTGATCACTAGTTTAGCAACATAACTCTACACAGTAATGTCTGCAATATCTCCCAGATAGACAGGATGGATGGATAAAGGATAGCAGATATTTTGTGGATTTGGCTCCTTGCATCACAGATTGTCATCATTGCTGATAAACATATGCAGCACAGCATCGCGTTCATTTATTTGTGCACGTGGCCAACCTGCTGCATATGACCGAGGATGTTCTTCCTGCAGTCGAACACTCCTCGCCCTTCCTCAGAGTAAAGCTGGTAGATGAAATCTGTGGTGAAGTTCTCATTGCAGTTCTCATTTCTAAAACACAGCACAAGGGCAACAGGCCGGTTAAGGGATCGCTTCACCAAATAACAAGTGCTCCCTTAAAAGAAGATGCTCTAAATAATGCCTGAACCCATTTATCAACTAACAGAGGACACAGAGTCACCAGGCTGCTAAGTCTCCACACACCAGCGTTCATATACCCTTCATCCAGGCTCTGCTTTTCACTGCATGCATGCATAGAGATGCTGTGATGCACCACTATGTTTGAGGGCATCTTAAAATAATGAAATTATGCAGGCACACAATGTCACCTGCACTCGGTTCAAAATACAACGTTTGTCCTATTTCCACAGACCTCCGTCCTGCTGGGAGCAATTTCCAACAGCATGGTGGTGCAGTGGACTAAAATAACCTCAATAGAGGACATGAAATAAAGTGTAAGGTTAATCAAAAATCTTTTATTTGCCGAAATGGTTTTACATACATAATTGAGAAACACTTATTTACCAATAGCGCACTGCAGATGACATTTAAAAATAGAGCATTTTGCATTTTTTGTTCATCGCACACGTACGCACAGGTCCATACAACAAATCCCACAGGCTTGTGTAAGGTATCTAAATCTAACTTTAAAGAATGAAAGCGTTTAGCCTCACCTGAGCACCAGTCCCCTCTGGATGCTCGTCTTCATCTTCTCTGTCAGATGCTCCACGTTGGCCTGAAAACACAGAGTCTCTCACATTAAACCTGCAAGAGCAACTCTCACTCTTCAGTCTCTCATTGCAGAGTGAAGAGCTGCAGGTAACATTTACACCACCAAGGGGCGCCATATCTTGTCTTTTACCTAGCTGGTGAGCCCAAGAGGGTTAATGCATCAGAAATGCAGGTTTACGACACCACACACATGCGCCTTTTACTGCTTCTCATTGTGATCACTGAAAAAGTGTTTGGTTTTTTTTTTACCTTTTCGTGCATTTTTATGGTTTAAATTCTTTGTGACACGTACTAGTTATAGTTCATATGCAAAGGCAGACTTCTAAAAAACTAAATTGTGCACTGCGCCCAGACTTTTTCAAAAGAAAATTAGTTTAACAAAATTTACAGAGCATAAAGAACTCAACATTGTTAGATTAAAATTAAGTAAAACATACACAGACAAAATAAATAAAAAGACAATTAATATTAAAAGTGTATGTAACAGGAACATTGTAAACAATAATAGTCCTGACGTCTCTAATCTCCCTGACCTGATCTGTGTTGATGAGATCTGTCTGTCATTGAATGACTGATGCAGCTCAGAGGTTATTAATAAGTTGCTTCATGTGCACTGCTATAATCTGGGTCACCTGCACAGCCCTGAAACATCCAGGCAGAGGCACTAATTGACTAACTGAAGCTTCTGCACTGCACTGCGATCAGTCTGCTCCACTACTGCTAAGGATGGAAATGTGCAATGTAGTGAAAGGTATTAGGCTCATTTCCAGCTCTATATTGCTTATTCTGAACTCTTGATTCATAATCCAGTGCAGGGTTGGCTGGAAGTCTGTGTTAGCCCTGCAACAGAAGAAAGTGGACGGATGCCCTGATTTTTCAAAACAAGACATTTTTTAGCCAACTTTCTTCTAACTGGCTGCCTGTCGTAGACAGAAAGCTTGAACATTACATGGGTGGGGCTCACAGTTGTGTGGCTGAGATGACCATATTAGGAATTTCTGTTCTTATTGACATCATACAGAGCCCAAAAATAAAAAAGCCGTGTGAAATGGAGGATTAGGAGCAGTTTGAATCCTGAATGTTTATGCTGTCGCCCTCATAAATGTTGTTACCAATAAAATCCAGTCATGAAACATACAAAAATAAATTAAATGGAACAAAAAGGACTTGACAGTAATCATGGCTATAAGAGTCATCGAGAGAGTAAAAGGTCTTGGTATTTTCTGATGATGAGAGGAGACATGAAAATAAGGCATTTTCTGTTGGATACAGACTTTTTCTCTCTAACCTGAAGGTCACGGATGTCAAATGGCTCCTCGTAGATGTAGACAGTGTCGGCGCCTGCAGCCAGACCACCCACGGTGGCCAGGTAGCCACAGTAGCCCCCCATTGTCTCAATGATGAACACTCGCCGCTTGGTGCCACTAGCTGACTGTTTGATGCGATCACACGTCTGATTCACACACACATAAAACATTATACAATTATTAAACAAGAAAAATATGTTCACGCGGAGAGCATGCAAATGCAAAACACACTGTACACACAAGTAGAGCTGACAGGAATATTTGATTTATCCTGATAATATAAGAAGGATTTGTGTGCAAACATCTGAGCTTTTTGATTGTGGGTGAAAACTGGTAAATATGTCATCACTTTGTAAAATAAAATTAAAAAGAAAAGAAATCTGCATCAGCTCTACTTTAAAATACATAAAATAGCTGAGTGTCCTTAGAGATGCACAGATTGACTCAGTAACTCAGACCAGTCATTTATTTTACAGCCTGTCATACCACACTGAAACTAATTTATCTGATTATTTAAGGTGGCAGTAGACTGGCTGCATGTGGACAGACCAGGGCATGAGGCTAAAAATGTGCTTATTTCTTCAGACACCTTATCATCAGTTTTGTAAGTGGAGGATTTATTAAATGCAAATATTTTCAGGATGTACAGAACATTTGCAGCAAAAGAGTTACTCTGCTGTGATTTTATTTCAGGCTTGCCCAGTTGAGGTGAAACTAGACGGTATGCAAATGACTTTGACACCCCTGATGTAGACGGTCGCAGACTGAGGCTACGTCCACACTAGCCCGGACAGATTTGAAAACGGTGCTTTTGTCTGACAACGCTCTGCGTCCACACGAGTGATTTCAGTCATTTTCACAGAGTTCTGCCTCCACATTGAAACGGCCGAAAACACTTACGTCCCAGTACTGTGCATGCGTGAAACGCACGGTCAAACAGTATCCCACATTGCTGATTTTTCGTTCACAAACACTTCTTATTATGGCGCATTACTCCTGAAACTTTGGAGGATTTAGCTCTTTATATAGTAAAGTTACAGGAGAATAAAAATAGTTATCAGCCAAAATGTTAATGGTTTATTAAAATAATCCCATCTGATACAAATATATATATAATTTTCTGTTGTTTTCTGTTGTAACCCTCAAACTGAATGGTAATGTAACGATACTAATTTTTTAACTTTTTCACAAAATGAAAACATCAGTACTTCCTGCGTGCTCCTAGCACAGGGGAAACAAATTCTGTCAGGGATACCTACTTTGGCACTACACCGGCTCGCGACAGAATGTTGAGGAAAAGCAGTTTTTTAAATGGACTAACAATGAGGTGGAGTTGTTGCTGCGAGTAACACAAAAGTACAAAGTTGAAAAAGCGAGTGAGAGTTAAAGAATTTGAAGAAAAGCTATCTGGAGCATGTACAGACTGATATTAATCTTTAATAGGGCTGTCAAAATTCAGAGCAAACAAAACAACTGCTGTATAATGCCCTCCGCTATCTTAGTTTAATTGGTCAAATGACTGCATCATATGACTAACATGCGTTTAGAAAGTCTGCGTTTTTGCTGTCCATACTGCAACACCAAAGCACCGTTTCCAAATGTATGCATTTTTGAGAGTGTTTTCAAACCGCTGCGTTTTCCATCAGCGAAAACGCCTTCTCAGTGTGGACGGGAGGCCAAAACGGAGAAAAAACGATGTGCATTAGTGTGGACTTTTAGCCTGAGAGGGTTTTTTTCTTCCCAAGAATAAATAAAGAACAAAGGAGACTGTAAAGAACTGGTAAATTGGCCATCAGAGCCACCAGAGTCAACCTGTGCGTCCCTTTAGTCTAATCAGATGAGTGAAGGCTTCCAGATGAGGACGCTGCAATGTCCTTTCCTATTTACCTTCTCAAAAACACTCTTATTTTAAAGTCTTGTTGGTTGGCTTCACCCATCTGTCACCAAATGCACAAGAGGTCAGAAATAATCAACACAGTCAGTAAAACACAGGAACAGTCACTGACATGCATCGTGCCATCTCAGCTATTCACGCAGAAAGAAAAAAAAAGTACTCACTGACACTCGGGTTTTACTTCTGTTTACTCATTCATCTCTTAAAGTTTTAGTAGATGAATTGGAGTGCATAGTTCAAATGACTGCACCTTGCAGGACTGGATCCAGTTAACCAACTCTTTGCTGTACTTTCTTTGCCCTCTTTGCCTTGTTTTTGTACATACTGAATAAATAATAAAGTACATTCTCTACATCCTCCTGGATGGTAACGAAAGATAATAAAATCGTCATATTTCAAATACAACAAACCAATATTAATGCATGAGGCACATAAGCAACATCTGCTGTGTGCTGATCGAGCTGTCTTTATTTTAGGATTTGTGTGAACAACAACAGTTTTGACACTTTTAAACCCAATTTTTATTAACGGTAACACTTCAGCATATCTGTAGCTCTTAATATCTCCCCTCATCTCCTTTGCTGGGCCCTTACCTCCACAATGGCGTTGAGGGATGTATCAGCTCCAAGACTGAGGTCAGTGCCAGGCACATTGTTACTAATGGTGGCAGGCAATATGCACATCGGGATGCAAAACTCCTCGTAGTCAGCCCGGGCCACATGCAGCTGCAGAATGGACTCAAAGGCCTGATGACGGTAGCCGTAATATGGAGTTAGACCACTAGGGGGAAGACTACACATCTAAAAATGCCAGTGTGTCCTTTAGTGGCTGCTTCATGGTGCCCAGTGACTCCCTTGTCTTGTATCCTTCATTATCATGATAGCTAAAGCTGTTTGCTAATCAAATGCCAAGTTGCAAGATGGATGGATAGTTTATAAAAACACCATTGAATGCACTTTTCTGTTTCATACTAGCAGCTTTTTTAAACATAAACAGCCCAGCCCATATTTGTCTGATCTGTCAGGTTTTTATGTTGGAAAGGAGTGTCTGTGATGTAGAGATAAACCCATTGCTGCACAGACAATCATCAGCATAAAATCACTAAGGTGTTCCTTCTCATCCTGACAGGAAAAGCTTGTTACCATGAAATTCTGAATAGTTTTAATTTCCCATTTTATGACATATAATTCTTTAAAGATGGTCTACTATACACTGTACAATATTTACAAACCTCCAAAATGTTTGAAATTATAACCTGCTGCAACTTTAAGGGTTAGCATTTTAAAAGGAAGGATACAAGATAAAGAAGTAACTTTAACTCCAATGAGACCATGAATATGCAGCTCTGCGTGTGTGTGCATGTGTGTGTGTCCTGTAGTGTGTGCAACTGGCTGGCTCTCTCCAGGAGTTGGGGGGACTTTGGCTTCTCATTGGCTGAGAGTAAGTGGAATGAGGAAGAGGGGTTGCATCGTGGTTGACATGTAACGGTGTCGACGCGACAAGATAAAGCTTGCGAGGTGAGACTCCAGAGGCCTTCGGGCAACGTTTCCTTTTATGTTCAAGAAGCAAAGAGGAAGTTTTTTTTATTTCTATTTGGGTTTTTTGTGTTTTGTCTGAAGACAAGAAAGGCTTTCTCAGATAAGAACAATAGGAACCATGATGTAGACCACAATCAGTTATGCAGCAAACAAACTTATTTCCCAAATGCAAACAGTGTTCCCGTTAGACTGAACCTTCCTGCTGTCTAGTTATCTGCCTTTTACAAAACACACAGAAGACCGCATGAACACGCCAGGGTCATGCACCAAGAGCATGCCACAACACACCACTGCATGCCCTAACACTTACCTGGGACCTCTGCTGACCAGCCCGCATCCAGCAGCAAGTGTTTTCTACTGTACTTCATGCTGATTATTAACAGTCTAATGTCTGCATCAGCTAAACTGAGCTGAGTTATTTGGCATAGTATGCATTGCCTGTCCTAACTGTAAGGTCTCATTTCTATTATCTTACAGTTGTGTTTATGTGAAAGCAGTAAGTCTGTACTTTCCATTTAGTTCTGCAAAAACACAAGTTTGGTTGTTAAGCGGGAGGCCAGCGTTTACACAAAACATTACAGAGCACTAGCACTGAGTGCTTCTTAAAATGTCTCTGTCATGTGACCTGAGTTTCAGTTAGTGAAACTACGGCACTTCAAGTGAAAACTTGAAGTTAAAAATCTTACCCAGGCACAGCTGATTTCATTTCAGAGCGAACCAATGAGCAGGTCAGAATTTCAAATATTTGTTTTTTAATCTGGCTTTTTTTTGTCACTACTGCTAAGCTGACAAAGTTCAATTAATGGCAGCTCTAAGCCCATGCACAAGATTAAGAACCAATTTTTGACAATTTATACTAAATAAGAAACAATAACAATAATATATTTTCAATTTCTGAATTTAAACTAGAAAACAAATGGATCCTGTAAAAAGATCTAAACTGTCTTGACTTGTGAACTAAATCTTACCTACTGCTTGTTAATGCAAGGATGCGAGCTGGCAATCAGCAAATCCCAAACTCTGTGCATGTGTGTTAAGTCTACAAACACACACACATACATTCTCTCTAGCCCAGCCACACTTACGTCAGTAATGGCATTCAGAGCAGTGTCTGAACCAATGCTGAGGTCTGAACCGGGTATATTATTGGAGACAGTGGACGGGACCATAACCATGGGCACACAGAACTCCTCATATTTGTCCCGTGCAGCAGCGAGTTCCAGTAATCCCACGTAGGCCTGCAGTAGTGAGAGCCAGCGTCTTAGTGGTCATTGACTATGTACACACAAGTGGGGGAAAAGTGAAGAGCTCTAATCCCCAGGACTTTGAAGGTGCAGTGGACAAGAGGACACAGGTGAGTTTTGAGGGAAAAAACATGACAAGAAGAGCTGGGAACTTACTGGAGATAGCAAAGGTGTGTCCAAAAGCCATACTACACTCAAGAAGAAGATATTATCTACTATAAAATGGAGTATAGTCCACTAATTGATTCATGGGCTAGCACCAAATGCTGAGCATTGCACAGCTTTGATTTTGTCTAATGGAAATCAAATGTTTCACTTTATTCACCAACTTCTGCAAGATGTTTCATTTCTTCTTCAGCTACAGCAGGAGCTAGGTACTACTGTAAAAAAGAATCACTGCATTACTAAAAGTGGCTTAGGATAACGTTTACTTTGACTTCTATTGTTATATATTGATTAAAGCTAAAATTGTAGCCAATCATAACTATGATACATGCAAACTAATAATCTGAACATGTTTGCTTTAGGAATCATAAGTTAACTTGTGGTGGGTGTGAAGGAGGAGGCGGCTTTGAGGTGAGAGGGAACTGCTGATGAGAGATGGAGCTCAAGAAATGGAGTATGAAATGAAAAGTCAGCGATGGGATGAAGAAACGTCTGTGAGGAATGTACTGTTAGGAGAAGCCAAGGGGAGAGAGCCAGGCCAATCATGACGGGCAGTGAGACACACACAGGAAGTCAATGTTGCAGCTCCTCACATAAAAGGACAAAGACAGAGACAACGTTCGTTTTTGGCCAAGCTACCAAAGTCAAAAACTTTTTCTTTTAAATGACATGGTTGAATTGTTAAAGTTCTTTGTTAAAATAAAAGTTTTATGCTGGTTTCATTTAATCTCTCGATTGGACAAAGAGCTTGAAAAGCATCAAAATACCATAAACATCCATTTCAATGTACTGAAAATCATTAAATCTATCTATATACATGCTGGCTTTGCAGCTTGGCCAACAGCTCATACTGACACATGGACAGACAGGGAGAGAGCCTTAAAAATTTAAATATGTCTTCATTATATTTTGAAAAAATATTAATATAGAAAATGTGTTTTGCAAATTTAAAATGTCAAATTGGGTAAATTGGTGAGAAACAAATGGACCAGAAAATGCTGAGCAATACAACACATGGCAATCGTAAAATGCTGGTGGGAGACGGTGCTTGATAATGCTGATACAATACGGTTAGCCATTTTACATTACACAATAACTCTGCTTTTACATTATCAGTAGCTTTTTTTTTTAATGAAACAATAGCTGAATTTTAGATTTTTCCTCATTGTATTTTTCTAAATGATAAAAAATGGTCAAAGATACAATATTGATAAAATGCGATTACAAACAAAATGCTTTAATTTGCAATAATCAGGAAAGGTTGTACATACCTCAAACCCTCCGACCACAAGCAGAGCATTGATGTTATGAATCCTCATCTGCTCAGCGATCTTATCCAGATGTTTTCCTGGAAGAGTTCTGACACATAAAATGATGAGTCATTAAAAAGGCAAAGGGGATAACACTTTATCATGTACATTTAATGTTAAAGCATTTAACCTTCCTCTTGTGTTAGCTTTCTGTTACTATCTTTTATGTTAATGGATAGTTTTGTGTCTTAAATCAACCAAAAAGTTCCCTCAAAAAAGTGGTTTATCATTCAAATTGTTTATAATCTTGTTAGGCTTCCTTATCCATGAAAAGATGGGTTTTAATATTTTTCCCGTGGCCCTCAGGCTCTTTCTTTTTGCAGCACACCTCCCATTTTCATTCCGAAACTATAGCAAATTAAACTCAAGAGATTAAAAAAAAACTTGTAGCAATGTAACGTAACATATCTCTAAAATAAATAAGTTTTATTTATTTTTTATGTCAATATTATTAACTATAGTAACATTCCTCTGTAATTCTATCGATTCGATGCACAGAATTACACAGCCCGTGATGCTGCTTTTTGCATAAAAAGAAGTTGTCACTTATTCTTGTCACGCAAACCTGGAAATCACAGGGTCATTTTGATGACATTTGCAGCAGTTGGCCTGCCATGTAAGCCAGGAGGTACTGCAATCCAAGAGATGTTACCACTTTCTTTTTACTCCGGGAAGGAGGCAAAAAGGTGAAGAGAGAAGCCCCTAACGTCTCTCTGACAGTGTTAGTGAGCTCACAGTATGTTTACAATTTCAGTTTTGGCACTAATTATTGTTTTAACAGAGTTGAAACCAACTGTAACAATACAATGGTCATAATTTTCACCAGAACATTTTCTAATTTTGTTTTCATTTTGTTTTGTTTAAATAAAGGTTCCTGACAAAGTCAGAAAGCCTTGATGCGATAAACAAGTTTAAATGGCACCTTTATGCATAAAAACCTAAAACTGGGTCAGTGCCGACCTCAACCTCATTTTAACCTTCCTCATCAAGAGGAAACTTAAAAATGATGTAGGCTTATAATAACAGGTATATAATAAAGCAGCAGATTACCTTTTTGTCCCTAGCAGTGACCCACCCTGGCCAGTCCAACCACCAACATCTCCCCATTTGATCTCCTTAATCTGATGAAAGAGAAAGGCAGCTCATTTGTATCGCAACAAAGCAAATTAATGCATGGCAGAAAAGGTTCACAGATCTCACTGGGACTATTAAAAAAAGCCATCTACCAGATAAACACCCCCTTGAAAATTATTGTGTCAGTGTCTGAATTATCAAAAACATCAGAGATAGAATTTCTGCTTTTTAAATGAAATTTCATTCATGTTCACTGTACTTGAGGGAAGTTAGAAACTCTTCACATGGTTAAAAATCATACAAGGACTAAGTGGGAAAAACATTAAAAAAAAAACAACCATGAAGCATTAAAAACCAAGTAAAGTCACAGGCATATGAATAAATATTCTATAATGTATAAATATATGACAGCTAAGTTGTGAGCTCCATTTGATGATTAAGAACATGCTTAATGAGGAGGATAAGCCACAGAAGGCCACTGCTGAAAAGGCTGGCTGTTCACCGAGCACTGTATTAAAGCATTATACATTAATGGAACTTAAATGGGAACGTGTGGTAGGAAAAGGTGCAGAAGCAACACGGATGACCACAGCATTGAGAGGAACTACAATGTCAAGTACAAGTCAAGAACATCATGAAACACCAGCCCCAGCCCACTTCCCATGGAAAGGAAATACGACTGTCCTGATGACAACATCAGGGGCAGCTTACCTAAGATGAGGAGAAAAAAACGACCAGGCTGATGCTCAGTGGTTCATATTGCTCTCTGTAAGCACATTTTTCATTTCATTTGGAAATTAAGATCTTAAAATATTAAGGCTGAGTTGAAAGGCACTGAATCAAAGTTATTTGAAGTCCAGTGTGGAGTTTCTGTAGTCTGTGATGTGTCATGTTGTCAGCAAGTGTTGGTGATGATTGATCCACTGTTTTTACAAAGTACCTGCCCATTGTATCCAAACTATCAAATGATTTACTTACAATGTTATTACTCAGCTTGACTTTTCAGTGAACTCTTCGGGCTTGAACCCTACAGAGAATCTATCAAAGTAACCTGGTCTTCAAAAACACCTCAGCGTTGCCACCCCCATGCCACACTGACGCAGCAGTTCACGATAAAAGAGCCCCAACCGACCACTGAGAATGCAACCATAGTTTTCAGAATTTAGACATTTCTGTATGTCAATTCTTGCTTTTGATTGAACTTAGGAAATGTTCTAATAATTTGAACTACTGGATTGAAGTCTTGAAATAATTAACATGTAATGAATATAGATGTTTACTTTTTTTAAATTAAATTATAAACAATAAAGACTTTCATGACATTTGCATTTTTGTAAGATGCAATATAAAACTATTTTACTGTGTATTTTACAGTTTTGTACTGTTCTTGTAGAATATCATTAAATTCACCTAAATAGACTGTGATTTTACATTTCAAATGTAAATTAACGTAAAATCACTGTAAATGTAATAAAACATAATTTTCTTGCTTTTTAAATGTATTTGTCTGTACATATGCATATTTAGATTGTTAAAATACATTCACAAATGCATCATAATTTCACAAATAGTTGTCCATTATTTAAAAGATTGAAATGTTAAATTCAAATGTAATGCTATGGAAAAATATATAAAATGATTCATATAAACTTTTTGTACATCAAACAATTATTATTGTTATTGATTGTGGCTCAAGAGTTGGCAGTTTGCCTTGTAATCAGAAGGTTGCCGGTTTGAGCCCCGGCTTGGACACTGTCGGTTGTTGTGTCCTTGGGCAAGACACTTCACCTACTGGTGGTGGCCTGAGTGGAATTATAAAGTGGAATTGTAAAGCGCTTTGAGGGTCTCATAAAGCGCTGCATGAATGCAGTCTGTTATTGTTTAAGTTAACTGTATATTTCTGTACATTTAAGTATTATTATTCATATTGCCACATTCATTGACATTGTTTATAGGTAATTTCATTGTTTAATCACATTAAATTGTTCCTAATTTAATGTTTAAAATCACGTGAAAAAGGCAAAATCCCATGTAAAATTAGGGCAACAAACTGTATTGTCATTACTGAAAATAACCGTATTTTCATGGGAAAGTTATTTTCTGTTATTTTATGGTATTATTTTGGCGCCACAGCTGCCAGAATATTACTGGGTTTTTTTAGGATTTTTTTTTTACGGTGTGTGCTGGCAATATGCAATCTTGTCACTGGCTATGACAGTCACAGTGAATCTACAATTAAGCAGCCGCTCTTTAATCACTGTGATACTTAGTGGGGTTATTAGTCAGGGACCCCAGCTTCACTTTTCAACCAATCTAATCCTTCAAAATCAGGATTTTGTCTCATGTCTCATGAAAGGGACAATAGTGTGTCATCAGCATAGAAATTGTAACTTATATTCGGTTTTTCAATAACATACGGTATGAAGAGAAAGCCCAATAACAGATATCCGTGGAACTCTATATTTGTACATAGTTGGCTGAATGACAACTATGTACATTGAATCTCACCTGTCCTTTGTAGAATCCCTCGAAGCCATCGTTGACAGCAAACATTTTGTGGCCTTCGGTGATTCCCACTCTGACAGCAGAACGAACAGCAGCATTCATACCTGCTGCTGGGGCACCGACGTTCATTACTGCCACATTAAAGGAGCTCTGTGGGTGATACACAGCACCAGTCACACTCATGTAACACTCAGTACTAACCTTACAGTGGGGGAAGCAGAACCCCATGGTACTGTGATATGTGGTAGCACCCTTAAGCTTTTTCAAATTTTAAACCATATTCATACTTTAGGCCCAACTCCTATATTTAGTGTACGAACACAGAATATATCTATGAGCAGCTTTTACCGGCAATGCAGTCATGCCATTAATTCCATGGCATGAGGCAAACTGGACAAAAACTGGACTGAAATGGTTCAGTTTGGACGTCATGGAGCCATAATCATGGCTTCATCTGTCATCAGGAGAGACTCTGCCTCACACAGCAGCAGGCAGTGATAGCCTTTCATGCATGAGCCACATGCTGCTAAAAGACGCAGTGAAGTAGTAGCTACTTTGTCATGACAGCCACTGAAAATATCAACAGTCAAATGAATATTTTACCAAAATTTTTTAGCAGTTTTCTTGCCATTCAGTCTTGAATCATTTGGCAAAAACGCAAATGGTGCTCTTACCAAACAATTTTCAATCCAACTTTAGAGGGGATCTTATTTCAAAGTCAAACTCGGGTTCATGTGGTCCACATTGCAAAATGCAATATGGATACACCCAACAACACAGAATGCATTATGCTGTGCTCCAATAATAAACTGAGCCTGCAATGTTCTTGTTTTCAATTGGGTTAATGACACATATAAATATGACGTGAAGTACCTCAAAACGGACAGGCTTCCAACTCTCTCTCAATAAATGCTTAATACCAAATCTCACACAGTTTGCTCTGTTTTTGAAGTCTAGCAAGCACAAGTGGAATCAAACTACAACACCCGGTAAGGTCATACAGAAATGTGTCTGCAGAAACTATACCAGCATCAAAAACTGCCAAGAATCAAACCTTGGTTTTTGAAGCCTAATCAGATTACGTTTATTTTCTGTTTGATCAAATACAATTTCTTCATCATTTTTCAAAGATTGAAAAATCTTTGGCTGCTGCATACAGACAGCACTAAACAGTTGGAGAACATAGACATGCTGAGATAAAAAAAAGATTATAAAAAACGAATATTCAACAGATGAAAGCTTTACGTTTAACAACCACTAACCATATTTGAATAAAACAAAGAGCTTGGAGCCCGTCCAGTTTGAGTTGAGAGTCAGCGAAAACACATCTATAAAGGAGACTACTTCAGAGTGATTTGAAGCAGATCACACCCTCATTGCCCTTATCCCTGGCAGCAGGGCTGGTTGGAGTCCTGCACTGCAGCGCTAATGCACCTCTTTGCATGTCTACATTTCTAATTCCAAGCATCCAAGCAGAGCCATGAGGAAATAAGCAAAGGCAGACAGAACGACAGGTGAAGAGCACTGACGCTGTCCTTTTGTGGCACCATTTTACAACAACTAAAATAAAGTGGATATTAGTTTTAGACTTGGTAAGTAGCAGAAACTAAAATCCACACATATTTATCTCAGCATTGGGAAGATTATTAGAAGCCAAAGTGAATAAGATGGTCAAACTAACTGCAAAGCAGCTCCTCGTATGACCTACACCTGCAGAAGCTTCAGACGCTGATCAAAAGCCTGCTCAGCTGCCCCATTTTCACTCATCACATACATCAATCTGCTCTTCATCCCCCGCCTCCTCCTCTCCCTCAGGATGGACAGTTATAGAAAGACAGACTGTGTTAGTGTCACAAAAAGACTGCAGCACCCACAATACACCTGACCAGGAAATACCTTACGCTAATGTACAATTCTCAGAGCAGCTGGTGGAAAGACACATTTGGAGAATAAACATGGTAGTTATTATTTTACTGGTTTAATTAAATTATTTTAGCTGTTAATATTTGAGAGTGATAATACTTACATTTGGAAGTTCAGAATCTGCCTTGCGAAATGAGAGGAGTCGGTAAGTGCTCAGATTGTTTTCGAAGCTCCTGCAGATGGAAAAAAAGTTAAACAATGTGGAAAATCCACAATGAATTCTGGTCTGTAAATGCAGCAGGGCAAACATTTAGAGTAATTAAGAGATCAATGTTAACACAGATAAGCAGGAAGTGGGATGCTGTCAAACCGCAAAACGTACTATACACAACTTCTGTGTTGTGTATAGTGTCAGACATCATGTGCAACATTCAAACCAGTGCTCCTGGCTTGAGCAACATTTAAGCGCTTTATGTATTTTTAATCTACTAATATGTCGATTGGTTATATATAAACATAACAAATCCTACAGGTGTTTAATCATGTCAGCGTAGTGGAATTTTACAAATACCTGCCACGCAGTCTGACCGCCTCATCAAATTTCTTCTCATCCATGGCCTTCTGTACTTCTTGAGTCTGATGACAAAAAAAACAGGGCATTTTTTTTCTGGTGAGGCAGTGCTGCCTGCTAACTGTATTGCAGGTAAATAGTGTCTGGAGTTATGGGAAACTCAAAGCACCTCGATCCAGTGATCCCAGCACTATAGCTGCTTCAGTCTCACAGCATGAAAGCCATATTTTATCTCTTTTTGAATTCCAGCTACATCCCTTTAGTACGTTTATTTTAAGACCTCTTTCTTTGCAAGAATAAAAATTGTAAAAAATCAATGAATAAACAATTTTGTCAACTATATAGTTGCTTTTGAGGCAAACATAATAGCAACCTTTATTGCTTGAAGAGACTCTCAAGCTTTCGTAGTTATTTTAGGTCATTTTTAAAATTAATCGTCACATCTTTATTTTTTTTTCCAGGAATCAAGTTCATATTTTTCTTTGGCATAAAATTAATCTTTCACTGTTTGATTTGTAAACTGCTTTGTTTCTTCTGTGGAGCTTCACAGTGTGCAACCCAGCAATTCACCCAGAAAATAAATGTTTCTCAAATTATTTTATATCTTCTTGCATTAAGCTGGTAAATGCTAAATGTCAAGGTTAGTAGTTTTTTCTTGTTTCTTGTTCTTGAAAAAAGAAGGGAAATGGGCTTGTTGAGGTTTGTGTAGACATTTCACCTTTCATCCAAGAGACTTTTTCAGTTCTGAAACAACTGGTAGAGAGACCTAGGTAACTAACCCCTACTGGGGGCTGTCCCTTTTGAGGAGAACCTGACGGTCGTAGACCCATTATTGTTCATGTGGGTTGTTACATAATCTGCAGTATAGAATAATAGAGCCAAGGTGTGAAAAAGGTGAGGCCCAATTTCCTTAAATGGGTAAAACCTCTGTGAGACCCTGTCCCACCCCCACCATCATGTGAGCTATTGTGGTACCTTGAGGTGGGAGTGAGGGTTGAAATTACCTCTGTGCCAGCTGTTTTATAACTGAAGTAGCAAAATGTGTTTCCATTTTCACAAACCTGAAGAGGATAATTTATCTTCTTCAAATTCTCCAGACTACCATGACCTGGTTGACTGAGAACATACACAGGCCTGTTTCATCTCTTAATTTTATCTGCTTTGTTAATGTTGTAGGCTGACTGTGGATTCTGTCAGATTAGTTGTCTTTATTTAAGTTTAAGTATTTTTATGATGGACTGTCTAACTGAATAACATATTGTGAGATAAATAAAGAAGAACTCACAGAAAAGTGACTAGCCAGAAATTTGATGCAGCTCTTTAATGTTTTACATTTTACAAAACAGTCTAATATACCAATGTTTTCCTCCAAGGTTCATGTTCGGTTTTAGAATTGGATTTTATTCCAAAAGTAGCATTTCTCTATTATAAAATTTAATGTTGTTTCAGATACTCTCCCTGAAAAATCAGATACTGTTCTAGTGGTTCCCATCAGATACAATTTAAAGGTTGTAAGTGAGTCCCAGCAGAGACTCAAAGAGAAGATCCAGGTTGCACAAAAAATGCGCATCTGCACAGTAGGTACTCAGAGTGGGG